GGAATGGGTGAAGATTCCAAAATTTTTAAGGTTCATTCTACAATCTTGAAAGCAAGGTCTTCATATTTTAAAACTGCATTATCAAAAAATTGGGCAAAGAAGTCTAAATATGGTATTATTTTATTCGAAAAGGAAAACATTTCTCCAAAAATATTTGAAATTCTAATAACGTAAGGATGGACTAATTGATTAATTAATTGTTTATTTTTTTGAATAAAATATCTAAAAGTATAATTTTGTTCAAAAGATATGTTTATAATGGAATCATTAATACAGATGATCTAGATCCAGATGAAATTTTAGAACTACTTGAAGCTTGTGATGAATTATCCTTTAATGAATTATTTGATGATTTGCAAGAGCATTTATTTATCAAAAAGAAAGAATGGGTAAAAAAGAATTTAATGCATCTTTATAAATTTTCATTAGAACATCAATCATTTATAATGCTTCAAGATTATTTTAAGGAAATAATTCATGATAGTCCAGAGTTATTTCTAGAGTCTGAAGATTTTAAAGATATTGAAAAATCTATGCTTATTTTTTTATTGGAAAAAGATGATTTAATAATAAAAGAAACAGATATTTGGGATTATGTCATTCAATGGGGAATTGGGCAAATTGAAAATGATTTGGAAGGAAAAACAATTTCAGAGTGGCATGAAAATGATTTTATTGAATTGAAAAATATATTGGATGATATCATTCCACTCATAAGATTTAATCAAATTGCTTCAAATGATTTTAATGAAAAAATCAGACCTCTTGAAAAAGTTTTCAATAAAGTGATCTATGGAGAGCTTCTTCAATATTATATTGCCAATAAAAGTCAACCAAAATTATTACCACCAAAAGGTCCGAGAACAGTAAAAAAAAATTTATTAAAATTTAAAATGAAATCTTTAATTTCTAGTTGGATTGATGATGGTCAAAATCAAAATACCTATAATGAAAATAATCCAACTTATGATTTTGAATTGATTCTTCAAGGGACTAAAGATGGATTTTCAAGAACAGTCTTTATGCATAAATGTTATGATATTAAGCAAACTGTAACCATCATGAAAATTAAAGAAACTGGAGAATTAATTGGTGGCTATAATTCAGTTGGTTGGAATATCAAAGAAAAATCCCCAGATGAAGAATATTGGATTGAAGGAAACAATGGTTTTATTTTTAAAATAGATGGAAATCAAATAAAAAATTCAATATTAAGTAGAGTTAGAGTGCCTGGTGGTGCATTGTATCATAATTCACAAACTGTTAATGAAACTATTAACAATATAAAATTTCATGAAATATCCATAAATTTTATTGACTTAGTATTATATAATAGCATTAATAATGAACCTTATTGTTATTATTATTTTATTGGAAATTTATTTGATGCATATGAAAATGATTTAAATCTTAATAATAGTAGCAAAATAGTTTATTTGTTGGAAGAATATGAAGTGTATAAATTAGTAAAAAAATAAAATTTGCAACTTAATATTAAAAATATAGAGTAATTAATTATTTAGAGCTCACAAAATTCTGTTTTTAATCGCAACAATGCTCCTTGTATATACAGCGCGTTGAAATTTCATCATGCAACTAGTATAAATTTAGAAACTATCCTACACCCCCACATTTCTCACACTGAATTTTCAACACTGCCACTATGTATATTAATACGTATAAATGAATTCAATTCCTAAAACCCCAAATTTTAATTGCGTTCAATTATTTATATGTTTTTCATATGACTGAGTATATGGACATTCTGTATGGTATAGCTCTTGCAAAACGTATGGTATGGTATTGTATTAAGTGTAATAAAATGGTTGTATACCAATGCTTAAATCTAACATACTTCCCTTCACACCCACCAAAAAAGGATTTAGAATAAAATTTTGTGTGACTTGGTATGGAAAAATATGGGCTATACCATACCATACCATACGTTCTGCAAGAGTTATACCATACTGAATCTCTCCCTACCGCATATGACTCAGTCAAGTGATCAACCTATTTCTACCACATACATGTATATATAATCCTCACTGTAAAATCAAAAACACAATAATTCTCAAAATTATTGGCATACTAAACTTCATTTAATCCATTGTCAGATGATAAATTCAGATTCATCTTCTGAACCGATTATTATTTCAGAGTCATAAATTGTTCATCTAAAGAATTGTCATTATTTACCATTACATCAAGTTGTAATCAAAAACATTTAATGTGGAAATGAAAATATTTAAAAGAAAATATTACACGAGCGCGTTCAATTAAATCATCCAAATTTAGATAATAATATGAACTATGGAATCTAGAGTTTCCTTCGTAATACAACTCAATCTTAATTCCAATCAATCATTCGAATAAAAATTTATTCGCTATTCAAATTATTCTTTTCATTCGTTTCATTCGAATAGAAACACCAAATCGAGATTTTTGCGCCGTAATAGAATTCTACAACATAGTCAAAAAAAAATTTTATATACACTACAAGTCATTTAGTCGCTGAATTTTTTTGCAATAAAAATCTCTCAGTCATGTGACTTTGGAGTCGAGAAGGCGATCATGCATACTCACTCTCTTTATAATGGCCCTTCTGTTTTTGCTGAAAAATTCGTTATAGACACTATGTGAGACATATTTAAATTAGGCCCCAATTCTCAGTCCGTTATAGAGTGAAAACTATAGAAAAAGGCCGTTATATAATAGTGTATTTAATTGATGATTAAAGAATTGTTACGTTACCATAAAAAAACTGCCATTGTAAAAAAATAAAAAGAAAATTTTCAAACTCGTATAAATGTGTGCTTAAATGAAATATATAGAGAAAAAGGTCTTATATACCATTTATGGAGGATTAAAGAATCCACACGGCCAATAAAAATAAGTCAACCCTCGATAAACCGAACTTTTGGAATCACAAAAATAGGCTTACAACATTATAAATGTAAATTTTACAAAATTATTCTAAACAAAAATATTTATCTAAAGACTGTTGCGCTGAACTATTAATATTATGACTTAATAATTTTTTCAAATGCACTTTAATTCATCTTCGCGTACATCGAAATCACTTAGAAGGTATACTAAAAAATTTAATAAACTTCATTATGATATCTGTAATAAAAATTTCTGGAATAAAGGTTTCATTCTATTGCTCATCTATTTCTGTTGGTAGAATTAATGCAATAATATTCTCGTCTTCCATTACTAATTCGCCTGCAACCATGTTATTCTCAATATTTAAGTACTCGTCCGCTAAAAGTGAATCATCAAATGGGAGTTAGTTGATTAAATCTTGAACTTCACAATTTTCTTGATCAGTATCAACTTCAATATTATTCAAAAATTCTAATTTTGGTAATTTTTCGTGCTATTTTTATTAGAACTTGACATGGTTAAAGTAGAAATTTTATAGAAAGTAGAATTTGGGTGATCGACATTATTTTTAAGCCAAATTTATCATTATAAGGCGAATTTTTTTAACCAGTTTATGATCATATTCGGCTTAGAAAGTTACATTTTTATTATTTTGTACAAACCATTCAAGTTCGGTTTATCAAGCAAAGTAGAAATTATAATAAAATTCGGCTTAACGAAATAATTTTTATTAAATATGATTCGATTAATTGTTATAAAGCGAAAATCGGTTTATCGAGGTTTGACTGTAGTGAGTGCAAAAATATATTTGTCAATCAATTTTTTAAACACCATTACATAATGTTGAAGGTCTTATTGAAAACTTATTTTTAAACCTGTAACTTAACCAGATTTACAATGATTAATCTTAATTTATTTGTGAGGATGCCTTCCCTGTCTATTTGCATACCGTATGTTTGCATAATCTGGCATAAAGATAGCTTGGAGACTTATAAGCTATTTGCATAGCGTAAATTTGCATATGCATAAAAATGATCCAGATTCTACAATATAATTATTATTTAGGAAAAGATTATTTAAAAAAATAATTAATAGTGGCCTGTTTCATAGAATAATAATAAATCTTTTTCATAGTATTATTTATATTATCTAGCTTTTTAATCTCATCTGAACAGTCCTTGGTTGCTGCTTTTTTAAACAGATTTGATAACGTTGTTCATTGTTTAAATGAGTTTTTTCATTATTAAAAATCATAAATGTAATAAAATTCAAGTCATAATTTTACAATCAATCATGTATATTAAGCAACTACGTGATAATGTGAATATGATGCATACTCGTAGAAATTCATTATTATTATGCAAATAGACACCCTGATCTGCGAATTAAATATTCTGCGCCAAAATGAATTCTTTTCTTTTAGAAAGTTGGTGTTTAGAAATATTCTAATTAAATTTTTTATTTGCGCCAATAAACATATGAATATTAGTATTAGTATACGCAGGTCCCGTATTCCGTACATCTGCGCTTCCATATTAAATAATGATGAAAAGTTGTACTCAAACCTCCACCAATCAAATTTGAGCATATTACATCCAGTAAATTGATTATTTCTATGCAAATACTACAATATTATATGTTAAAACACGAGCGCAATACGATTTCTTATTCATACTCAATGCATTCTTAATTCTAATTATCCACATGTTTCAAATAAGAAATTTATAATCGTTCGTTCTATTCGAATAGTTTTTAATATAAAAATTTTATACAAATGAAAATATAAATAAAGACTCATTCAAGTAAAATTGATAACGATTTTCTTTCTTTAATTGTCGAAGCATTTTATTTTGTAATTATACCATCAAACTTCCGAATATGTAATTTGAATAACTCAAATTGATTATTCATTTGATACGAATAATAAACCCTAAGCTAAAATTTTTTGTAATTTATATCGTTTAACAATTTTTATTTGTTTGGATGTTAAGCATTTTATTTTCGTTAGTTATAATATCATAAAAATTGAAACAAAAGTATTTAATCCAACTTACATTTATAAATAATTTTAATATTTGAAGGCTAATTTTTGTTTTTTGTTTTTTAGTATAGAAATGTCAGTATCAGAGGAGTTTACTATACAAACAGTTAAATTTATACATTCATTACTGGTCTCTATACCTCAATATGCTTTAGGTTCCTTATCTGCTATAGCGATCTTAGGGGCCACACCAGCGAGTGGTTTTAGGGAGAAATTTCGATGGATATTTCTGTGTTTAGGGGCCCCTCTAGAGGGGCTCTTTTACTATTGTAATGTAAAAAACGATGCGATCATTATGAGCGCATATTGGCTCGAACTTGATCACTTTGTTGAAGATAATAGTAATAGAACTGGGGGTGGTGTTACAATACTCAACTACAGGCTTTTTGGATGGCATGCTAAACAAATGGAGCTCACCTCGGAACAGGAAGAATGTATGAAAGTATGTGTAGCTGAAGCATCAATATTAGATCGCCTCAGCTACGTGGTATCCATTTACTACATAGTAGTGGGGATATTTGCGGGAATAGTCAGGGCAATCGGACCATGTATCAAAGAGGAATGGCCATATATACCACTAGTATTGGCTTGGACTTTGCCAGCAATTTGTAGGAAGGCGGTAGGAGGAATAGTGGTGGTCCACAATCCCAATAAAAGAATTGTTGGGAAAATAACAATAAGTAATTCTCCAAAGGATAGAAGATTTAACATTATCGAGACTGGTTTATTCTCAATTATAGTTCCATGGCTAGCAGTAATTTTAGCTTATTTCACCAATCCAGTTGGATATAGATGCAGGAGTAGATTTTTAACCGTGCTGTGTGTGGTATGGACATTTAATAATTTAGTCTCACTATTATTCAATATAATGAGAATACGTGGCAAAAATATCCGGTTCCTTGTTAATTTTTACTTTTGTATTTCTGGTGCATTTGTAGTATTTATGCTACTTTCACTGGTTCTACTTAGTAATGCAAGGCCATTATGGGTAAAAGTTTTTGGAGACTATTGCGCTGATCCAACAACACCTTGTTTCAGCATGTCAGATATTGTAAACAAGTGATTAATTTTTTGTTGTATCGTCACTTATGCAGGACATTATTTTTTTTTTTTTTATTTATATATATTGTTTTTTTTTTCTGAATCTAGCTAGATTAATCATTGGTTTTTATTATTATTATTATTATTATGTATAATGTACATTATTTACCTAAAAATAAATAAAAATAAAGACTTTAGGATCTCTTCACTTAATTATAAATAAAAAGGTTTTTAAAAAAATCCCACATAGAATACATAGGAAACTTCTTGTAAAAGAGTAGTTTTTTCAGTATTGAAATTATACATACAGCCCAAACTTTTTTTGATGTCAAATAAAACTCATTATTAACATTGAATTACTTACTTAATTGGAATGCACCTTTATTAAAATTTACTGGATTATGAATTAATATACACTGGCTGGGTTGACACATATCAATTGATCTGTCCTGAAATTTTGCCCATATCCTTTGTTATAAACTTCACCAAATCTGCTTTTATTCTATTATTAAATAAAATCTATTTAATTATCTACATATATTTTGCATTCAAGAAAAAATCTGCGCATTTCTTCATTTCCTTTTGTGTTCATAGCATGACATCAATTTGTCATTATGTTATTTGCATTTTTAACTAACATATAGGTTTTTCTTTCTTTCCTTCCTTTTACTCTTTTTAAACCATTAATGAGTCACATAAATTATATAACAACACAATATAAATTTTCAATTAATCTTTAGTTGATTCACAGTATATGTTAATACAGTAGACAACAATAAAAAGCCATCAACTATTATTGGCTTACCAAAATCCTCAGTGATCATTTTTAAAAAAATAATTTGCCAAATGATTTATTAGAAGTCAGGGAATAATTTTTTACGACCAGATTTTTTATTTGAACTTACTAACAAATGTTACAAGGGTTTAAAACTTCACTATTTTTGCAATATTTGCCGCTTGTTATAGTATAGTAAAATAAAATTTTACTAATTTCTCTATTTCATTGGGCGAAAATACTTTCACGTGATATAGTCGCATCTAACCCATTAAATTTTATTGGCTAAAACATTTAGTTCGCTCGTATCACAAATTTATGCATGATAAATTTTAATTGACGATCCGTCTATGAATCGGTGAGTGTTATATAGTGATCGGCGGGGGAAAATTGACCAAAAAAACACTAATCGGTAACCTTTTATAAAAAAAAGTTACTATACTTTTGTCTTGCAAGATAAATTTTTTTTGTGCATACAAATAAAATAAATCTCAGAGAACATATTTATGTATTTTTTATTGCTATTAATTATGTAAAGAAAAAAGTTTTCTGTTTATGATATGTTGATTTTTTGAGTTTTTGTATTGAAAAAATCTGATTTTTCCGTGTAACATTTATTAATTTTTATAAATAAAGAAAATGCTTTAGACGTTCTAATAAAAAAATAAAAGTGATACGAAATGTTTATGATTATTTGAAATGTTTATGACTATTTGAAATGTTTAAGACTATTCGAAATTCCATCCATTACCAAAAGTCATGACATAGTCAAAAATGTATTTTTTAATTAAAAAAAAATTGATATATATAAATATATATATTATTGTATTTCCATGCTATTATTGTCGTTATTGTTGCTATTGTCTACATCTTTATTGTCACCATCATCTTCATCTTTATCATCATCATTATTGTCATCTTTTTATAAAATTTGCAATTTAATTTTTGAATAAATATATATTTAATAAAAAATTTATTTAATAAAAAATAGTATTTACTTGTTGTTAATATATATTTGACATGTTTTATTTCTGGTGCGAATGCCATGAATGTGGAATCATTTAAGGACACTTCACTCCATCTATTCCCAAGTTTTAAGTAACATCCAATAACATCATCTTTGAAATCCATAAATTCTTCTATACTGGTCAATAAAGTTTCAAATGTATCATGAGGATCAGTGATTACTGTTTGGAATTTTTTGTTGTTGTTGTGATATATGGTTAAATGCAAGGTTTTGATATTCATTATCAAAAGTTTGAAAAGCAGAGGAAAAACGAAAACAATTTTTTTTTATGTTTATAGAATAATATTACCTTTGTTAAACAGGACTTGTTGGGTAGTGTATTCGCATGGTTGTTAACAAACAATCTAGTAACATGCTCCTAGATGGGAGATCGAATACAATGGAAGACAAGTCCTATTATTATTTTTGAGTTTATTATTAAATAAAAAAAACTATGAATGCAATAATTAATATATACTATAGTTTTTTTTTTATTTTTTACTCAAAATATTCGATTTTTTGATTTTTTTTGCCAATCATTTAATATGAAATTTCCCCCGCATTTCCATAATAAATTGATTGACATTTCTCTGATTCATAGACGGATCATCAATTAATATTTATTAATTTAATAAAATTTTTTTGAAGAAAAAATTATTAGCATTTTGATTAAGCCATAATTGCATCTAATTGATGTTTGTACTGAAATCTAGTCATGACTGAAACTAGTCGCGACTGAAACCTAGTCATGACTGAAATCTAGTCGTGACTGAAATCTAGTCGTGACTGAGTCGCGACTAGAAAAAAATCCAGTCGACTAGTCACGACTTATGACCCTCCAGTCGACTTGCAACACTAATCAAGATATACGAAGCTATTTATTTGCATATAAAACAATAATTAACGAAACTTTAATCAATATAAAACAATCACTAATAAAATACTTTTTAGTTTTTGCTGAATCCCATCATAAAATTCTTCATGGCTATATATTAAATTTCTATAAAATAGTTTTTTGTGAACCTCTCTAAAATTTATTAACAAACATCCATAAAGTAACGACCACATGAAAGCTTAAAGTATTCTACACCTTCTCATTTACTATCAAGTCTTTTAAAGTGATATTGAAGTGAAAAGTAATACCGTTCTGATAGCCGTAAATTCATGTAGAGAAGACCTTTAATATGAAAAGGTATTCGTTAAAAAGCTTTAATGGAATACTTTCATTTTCTCTAACAACGAAATTCGAAGTTTATTATAAAAATAACGAGATATTTTAAAAAAACTTCATGTGACACGAATTTCGAATTTATTTTCACTTATTTATTTGCGATTTTATATCAGTTACTTAATAATATTCCAGAATTATTAAATCTTATTCTCACATTCCATTTTAATTCCACATTTACAAATGTCTCTATATTAAATATAAATGACGTTATGGAAAAAATCTGGATTGCTTACTCAACTGGTTGCTTGCTTTTATAAAATAAACGGAGTGATAAACATGATCACCGGAGATATAATGGAAAATGTCATGTTTTACAGGACACACCATCACACCATAATAAAAATGGCAATAGTAATAGTAAATAATAATGATAATAGTAGTAAGTTATATATACATATTTGCTATTTTTTATCAAAAACAATTTATCATTATAATTATAATTTCTAAATCGTTATTATTATTTTTAATTGTTAACAAGTTATTATTTGATAAATCAACAAGTATCAATATTTCAGAGATAAGCAACCATTAGAGTCGTCATGCCATGACATGTGAATTCATCAATCGAACTTCTTAAATGAAATTTAAGTAGTACCAACATTTCTGACATATCACATTCCTAGTTACTATTATTATTATTATTATTTATATTTATCATTTTGGTGTCAAATTCGTAAAATATCATAGGTACCGTATACAAATTGAAAGCACAACAAACATCAAGGAAGGATTATTCCATTAAAGAATCGGAACACATCCTCTGCGCAAAATGATTGACTCTTTATCATTTTCCAATGCTCTTAAGTTTCTTAAATAAAAAAAATCCTTAGTTGATCAAAATTTCTTTAGTCAACTAAATTTTTTTTTTTTAATTTGCAAATTACGAACACATTTCCATTTGAATTTTTCACTTTTTCAAAATACTTTGACACAAAACCATGTGTTACGATTCGTTTTTTAAAAGGTCTTCTGGGATCACCGCTTAAATCATTGGACCTTGTATCGGAAGTGTTTATTAGTTCACATGTAAGATTATCATCAACAACAACACCACCATTGTCGTCATCATCATATTGATGGTATTGATACTCTTCCGCATAGAAATTTTCCATTTGAATGATAAAACACAAAAATCGTAATTGGTCAGACAATAATAATATTAGCATTAGTATTAATATTAGTAGTATTAGTAGTCGACTAAGATAGCCGACTATTTTAGTCGATTCCACCTCTAAAATAAAAATGCTCAGCAAAAGATTAATAAATCTTTTAATATAGACGGTAAACCCACACCCATCATGTGTGTCCATAAAACCATTGATTTTTGTGGCAATAAAAAAAAATCTTTTTCAATTCTTGCTGAAATCACTACATAATACAGATATTATATTTTATTTATATATCAATTGATTAGGAAAATGAGTATGATGATTGAAATTTGTTGTATGTTAATACTGCAAGCTAGAATTCGAGCTATTAGATTTAAGTTTAATTTGTGCTTGTAAGTTTTAATTTTTTGGTTTAAATAAAAATGAATTTTATTATTATAATTGAAGAATTGAAAAATGAAAAATAAATGATTCATCTTTTATCTTACCATTTTATACACCTGTTCTTACAGGAGGAGAGACCTGGTTAAAAGTATACAATATATATAATTATATTAAACAACTTTTATATATATAAAGTATTTTATAATTAATAATTTCTTTTTTTTTTACCAGAATAACACCATCACCACGTACAAATAACATTTCTATGGTTCTTTTTACTGTCTAAAAAAAAAAAAAAATTAAAGACAAAAAGTTTTTTTTTTTAAAAAAAGAAATGTTTTTTTTTTTTGAGAAAAGGGAAATAACATACACGAATAACCTCTTCATATGTTTCTTCATTAACATCAACAATTGTAATGGTTTCTTCCACATCTCCCAACACCATATTCAAATGTCCATCATAAGCCTAATTAATTATGATTTATTTTATTTTTAAAAAATAAATAACAATAACAATAATAACAATTAATAATGTATTTTATTATTACATGGAGTTTACCACGTAATTCGCGATCTCCGCGTAACTTGACATAAATACGTTCATCAAGTGATAAACGGACTAAATCCAATGGTTCTTCTACAGCATTTGGTTCAACTGGTTGAGTTTCTTCGGTCATTATTGTTATCAAATTATTATTTTTATTATTTTTATTGTTGATAATCTGAAATGACAAAATTTTGAATTGTCACATAGATAAAATAGTCGTACGACAATTAGAATGAACCAATTATTCAGATTGTTTGTAATACGGTAATGTTCCAAATTTGTAACAATTTTTAAGTTATTTATTCCTTTACCGTTTAATTTATTTTAATTTTATAAATTATTTATTATTTATTATTAATATTATTATTATTATAGTCTTTTGTTTCAAGACAAATAATTTCATAAAAGAAATATGACTTCCTCAGAACCTGCAACTTCCTCCCTTAATTATCCTCAAAATACTTCTTATCACCAATCTTCAAATAAAGTTACTCTAAAAACATCTATAACTCATCCTATCAAGTAAAAATTTAAAATGCTATTTTTTAATCGAAAACAAAAAAATGTCAATATTATATAATTAAAAATAAATAATTTTTATTTTACTGTACAGTGTAAGTTGGATCTTGCCAGATGAATTAAAAAATTGCCTTACATTGAATCTGTTATCGTCAAAGCTGGATCTTTTTGACATATACACTTCAGCATCTCTTTATCAACATTATTATTATGATCAAGTTGAAAAAAAGATACAAAACAATGATAATAACACTAATGAAGATCTTTCATCAAAAGACACATCATCAAGTACTACCACTGAAACTGTTTCTAACTTAGGTAATTTGGCTTTAAGTTCATGTCCTGGGAAAAAAGTTAGATTAAATGGACCTGAAAGAGGTAGAGCTACAATCAAAAGAGATTTAGATCTTGACTTTCAAAGACTTGTATCTTTAGGAATTTCAATGATTATATGGTGAATATTTAAAACCTATTTAAGTTATATTATAATGCTCGATTAATTAATTTACAAATTATCCAGTATAAACAATTAATAATTGCAATTTAAAAAAGTTGCTTGAATGATGTAGAATTAGAATTTTTGGGAGCACCTTGGCCAAAATATGACGAAACTGCACAGAAACACAATATTCAAATTATTAGGTAAACAACACATTATATATATATATGCGCACCATTAATCTATCCACGAGACAAAATCAATAATTTATTTTACTTTTGCAGAATACCAATGATTGAAGGTGGATGCCCAGACTCACTAGATCAAATAGATCAAGTGGTATTACAAATAGACCAACATATAAAGCAAGGGAAAAATGTTTTGGGTCATTGTCGTGGCGGTTAGATGAATATTATTATTTAATTTATTCAATTATAAAAAAAAAATTTTTGGAATAAAATAAAATATATTATTATTTATATATCACAATTAGGAGTTGGACGTGCTGGATTAGTGGCATGTTGTTGGTTGCTTAAAACACAATTTTGTCTTGATGCTGACCGGGCAATTCAATTGGTTAGAATGAGAAGAAGTTCTAAAGCTATTGAAACTTTGCAGTATGTTTTTTTTAAAAAGAAATAAGTAATGATTATGGTTATGATTATGATTACGTTGGTGTTATTAATTAATTTTTTTAATTTTCTATTTTTTAGACAAGTTGATTTTATTGTACAATATTCAAATTACGTTAAATGGAATTTAAATGAAAATCAAAAATTATTGTCAAAAACAACTTCAAATCATGAAAAAGATGATGTAAAAGAAGATGTAAATAATAATTTATGATTATAGATAATAAATTATATATACCAGTATTATATTTTATATAATAGACTTTACCGATTTCGAATAAAAAAATTTATTTATTTATTTTTATTTACTTATTATTATTCATTTATTTTTATAATTTATTTTATATGTGCTTATTTGTAAGTATATATATATATATATATATATTTATACATGATCATTATTACATTATTATTCTTATTATTCTTATGGAAAAATTTATTATCATTATTATTGTTTTTTTAATATTATTTGTTGTTAGTCAAGAAGTACAAATGAAGAAAAGTTGTTAAAAATTTTTTTTAAAATAACTTGCCAAAAAAAACAAAAATAACATTCATTGTATTGCTATTATTTATAAAACTCGTTATTTCTTATCATCATTATTTGCCTTGTTGGCAAAATATTTAGGATTAGGAACTAATTTACACTCAATCACTTCACATAAATGTAAAACTTGTTTAGATGTTAATAAATTTTCAAAAAATGTTAAACCAGTTGTTCTTTCTAAAGCATCCAAGGGTACTGAAAAATTGGATATTGGTGTTGATGAAGGTATATTTTCATTTGGTAAAACAAAAGTTGCTAATGCATAAATTTTATCATCATTGTCCCTAGAATCCTTATCAATATTAAGGTCGATATCTTTTTGATTCTTGTTTTTTATTGCTAAAATAACTTTGTAAAAATGTGTTGGCACAGAAATATTTGGTGGATTTCCTATAACTTCATATTTAACATAAAATTTTCCTGTATTTGGATCTTTTTTCGGTAAATAAGCTGTTCCAGTATATACATAGACATCTGTAAAATTTTCAACAAATAACAACCTTCTACAAAATTCTTCTAAATGGGCCCAATCTAAAAAAAATTTAAATAAATATTAAAAAAAAACCAAAAAAAATAAAAATCATTAAAATTCCCACTCACAATCTCTATTAAATCCAACTCCAACTTGAGGCGCTATATTAGTTAATAAAAAAGTTTCATCTAAACTAGTTTGATCTGTTTTAACATCTCCTGCTGGTACCATATGTCCTCTATCATAACCTGATTTAAAATAATTAACTAATTTAGCTCTGAATTTCTCAGGTATAATTACATCCTCTTGAAATCTGGATTTTGTTCGGTCTACTGGTACTAAATCTTTTTTTACATCGTTCGGTTCTCCTTGAAATTTTCCTGGGAAGGAATTTTTAGTTAAATGTTCAAATGTCCAGTCAGGATGTTTGTGTTGTCGATTATAAGAGGTTATATATGCTCTACGTTGTATGGCGTCATGGATAGGACCTGGGTAACCACCAATTGGAAGTTGAGATAAATTTATTATTTTTTGAGTTGGTAAGGATGTCTTTGCTATAGGTTTTTGTGTGTTTCGTTGTTGTTGTTGTACATACCACCAATAAATAGCTATAAATCCTATAGCCGTGCTCGTTATTAAAACCGAAGATTTTCGTTTTATTGAAAATTTTGTCATTTTATTTTTTTTAGTTAAGCGCGTATATATGGGGCATGCATGGTAGACAAAGTGAACATTGTGTCACATGAGATTAAGGTTCAATATTGATTATCATTTAACAATTTTATAATCTCCCATCTAAAGATATCAAAAAAATCGTACAGCTTCAAATGAAATAGAGTTTTATTAATAAAAAAAGCCTTAGAACATAGTGGAAGTCTGAATTTGACCACAAATGTTACACGAATATTGATATTAATTTTTACAATAAAATATATATGAAAATTAATCAGTCATATGATAACTCACCTGATTGCATTTTAGAAATTATTAATATTGTTCTTTATACTTTCATCGACCTTTTGAAATTTCCAGGTCAAGTCAGATCAAGTGTTTGAATGAGTTTACCTTATAAGCAATTTTTATATTAAATAAGTATTAGATAAAGCAGAAACATGAAGAATATGTTGGTTAATTATCTTAAATCAGTGAATGTGTGAACAATTTGGAAATGGCTCTCAGTCTAAGATAAGTCGTTTATGAATCAGTGACATAAAAAATTAATGTGAATATTATGATTACATGACATTAATTAACTAGATATTTTATAAAAATTTATGAGTATATAGATGAATAAGAAGTATGGAGTACTAATTCATGTATATATTTATTTTTTAACAAAGAAAGCTATTGATTTCAAAGGTAAATTAACAAAGTATAAATTTTCAAACATATGTTATTATTATTTTGCTACCATTTATCTACATAATCTAATACATCTTATAAATTGGATGCAATTTTAGTTCAACTTTTTTTTTACTTAAAGACGCGTAAATTCAAATTAATTAAAATATAAATTGATTACATGTATGTCATACACACACTCCTAGACAAAAGAAAATCTTATCAATAGAGTTAAACATATTCGAGAAACAGCAAAAAAGATTCGAGCTGTAAATATCATAGCACAAAAATGGCTTGAATATATGTATCGACCTGATGGCCTTTGTGCTTCAGAGCTTGCTCAACATTATCAATTATTATGGGCCGTTCGAGAAGAAATGCGACAAGTTAACAATGTATAATACACATAACTATTTATTCGATTAATATATCTATTTATTATTTATAATAACTTATTCATATATATATCTTTAAAATAAAATCATCTGAGGTATCCCTGAGGGCTGGTACTTTAGACTTTTATTCACTGCTATTTCGTGATGATTAATAGCTATTTTTTCTTATACGTTTCATAATTTTCATGAAAGATTCCAATTTTTTCTGCAATGTAGATACCTTTCTGTTAATAACCATTGATGCACTTTTTATATGTGAACTTGCATGATGTAATCAAGGAATCGATCGTCAAGTCATGTGAAAAGCGTGACTCAATTTGCATCATACATATTTGCTCAAAGTCATGAAAAAATTTTTTACGCTCACCATGATACGTAGAAAATTAATTCTTCCCCTGGCAAGTTCTGCTTTCGCCTATTTCCGCAACAGTTTTCGGCTCCGTTCATACTTTTCAATAGCTCAGCGTGAAGAGAGGATTGCTTTATTAAAAGAGGTACCTTTTGAATCTGCGTATTTCAAACGTGCGTTCAGAAAATAATACTTCTTAATTTTCTTGTAAATTTATACTCCTCTTTCTCAAAACTAAAGAAGGATATTTAGATCTTGGTAAATCTGGGAAGGTCTGGGAGAACTATTTTCGCCTGTTTGAATGGCGTGCACAGGATTATGGTACGAACGGTAAATTTTTAATGTTTTTGCGACTTTTTGCTCGGAATGACAATTATTTCCTCAATAGACTTTTACGCAAAAAATTCTGGTTTTCTGGATGAGATATCTGTCATCAAAGATAATATCAAGATTCCGGCTAAAGACCTTCTTCAACGTATGATTGTAAGTTTTTCGCATCAAAGTTGTGTCATAGAGGGAAATTCACTAGGAAGTGCAGAGTCACAAATCATTTGGGAAAAAATGAACAAAGACTATAACATTGACGATTTACAACATGAGGAGGCACAATTACCTGAGCCGAAATCTCTTCTTGATAAGCCTGGAAAGGAAATTGAAGTTGTCGAAATCCGCAACCACCTGATTGCAACTCATTACTTATACAATACCTTGTTGAAGTCAGAACAAGAAATAAACGTCGACAATATAAAGAAGATCCATCGTATTCTTTTGAAAGATACACTACAGGAGAGAGTTAATGTGTGGGGCAAAATCCAGCAAGCAGGAATGTTTCGAACCGTGACAATGCAGGCAGTAGGTTATCATTTGACCGTTCGTCCGGTAAGTTTTAGTTTATTAATCCCGCTTGTCAAGTTTTGATTATGGCTTAATTTGTGTTCTCTGTAGTATGGAGAGGATGTACCTGCGTTGACGGAAAGGTTCGTACAATTTTACAACAAGACCGTCACTAGCAATAATGTTGATGATCATGAACCATATTAAATCCATCCTCTTATGAACGCATGTCGCATACTTTCGTCCTTCCTTCATATTCATCCATTATACGATGGTAATGGACGTGTTGGACGTTCACTCATGGTGCTTTATCTTGCCCATGGTGGTTTTCCGCCCCTTGTTTTTCAACAACTTGATCGAAAAGAATATGCATATGCATTGTATAAGGCTCAAGCAGAAAAGGATATGGTCCCATTATATAACATAGTGATAGGAACCATCATTGATATTTTGGCATCATATACATGGTTACCCATTAGATAGTGATATGTATATGCACAATATGAACGTGAATATCGGATAATAAAATACACGTATGTTTATTGTGTCAACTCAGGCGATTGTTCCTTACAAATTCTGAAATCAATGCGCACCTTATTGTATCACAAATATAAATATCAATAAAGTTTCACCCATGATTTGAAGATATATTTTTAAAATATGGTGTGGTGATGCATCAGAACATTAATAAATTTTCTTGATCAACACTGGCCCAATATAAGCATTCTACTGTACCCTTTCAACAAGGAAGTTCCTGATAACCTGTGATGTATACACATCTCCATTCACACAAAAATGAATCACACAAAAGTAATTAAAGTTTTATGTTTACTCAATAAGACCCAATTCTCAAAGATGTTCTGGAATAATTATATATGGGTCTTCATAGTACCTGACATATCTTAAAACAATCCAGTTTTCTTCACATAATTCATTCTTAAGTTGATCCTGTTCCTGCTGTTTGATGAAATTATTGGGATCTCCTCTATGAAAGAATTCGATATATTTTTTGTGTTTTTCTCCTTGTACTTCAATTGCAAGACCATATTCTGGATAATAAATATCAAGTTCTAATCCTATAGGAGATTCTAATGTTTTGAGAAAATCAGATAGATGGGGTTCCAAGATATTTTGACACAAATTTTCAAGGTCAGAGCAATCAACAAATAGGTAATGCACATTGATGGATTGCTCTGGTGGTTATTTTTTAATCTTTAAAATATATATATAAATTAAAATTATTTATTTCTCTTAGTAAACTAAAAGAATTCAAGGTAGTGCGAGCATGCAATCTGAGTTTCCTATTTAATAGGTTATTTACGGTTCAACACACAGCCTTCTCGCTGACTTACAGTTGATTCTAGTGTTTGACACACAGCCTACTCGCTGACTTATGGTCAAAAATTAATAAAATATAACTTTTATCTTTTTAGATAAAAGGGTCCCTAGGTTCTATATATGTAAATATATCCCAAAGGCGTCCCCTTGAGATGTCTCTTGATAGTTAAGATATTGGTTAACTGCTATGGGCAGCAAAGGTTTATTGATTAATTAGAGATTATTATTTAGGGTAAAATATGTTATGTGTTTTATTAGCAATAATAATAATATTATTACAATGTGTTAGGAAGTATTAATTATTAGATCAATAATTAAAAGATTGTTATGAACATGTTGATTCTGACTTGGTCTAAAACCAAGTCCTTTTATACCTCTTGGGGTATTACAAATACCATGACTTTTACTCTAGTTTGTCCAATAAACTATGCTTATTAATATAAAATAAATATTTGGGTCAACTGATCATTAGAAATACAGTCAACTCTCCATAAGTGCACCCTCCATAAGTGCACCCTATGTCCCAGTCCCAAGCTCGGGACTTAGAGATAAATGCACCCTCTCTATGTTCTGCACTGCACAGTCTTTTCCTGGTCCCGTTCATATAAAACCACCCTCTCTAAGTGCACTCCCGTGACTTTCACGTGACTGCGCCGCAATATGAAATCATTATTTATTTATTAGTGAGGAAAACATTAGTGTCATTTTTTAATGAATTTATTCCTAAAGTGGAGAAAGTAAGCCATTGACCTTTTTAAAATTTTAACATTGATTTTTAATTTAGTAATTCCATGTACAATGATGTTTTAAAACATTGTAAAATAATAATTCAGGTAACAAGAAAATAAAGAATTCTTTCTTTCTTTATTATAACAAATGATTAATTCTTTCTTTTTAATAGATGTAAATAATTATTAGAATAACAGAATAACAAACAGAATAAGAGAATAAGAGAATAAGAGAATAAGAGAATAAGAGAATAAGAGAATAAGAGAATAAGAGAATAAGAATCCAGGTAACAAAGCTCTTATGTTTTATATAGTTGGAATTATTACATATAAAAAGGTAAAAGAAAAGTCATAACAGATAAAATTAAGAATTTTAATAATTAAATCGAATTACACTTATTACTTTAAAAAAGAAAAATATCCAGTTATTATATATCAATCTTTGTTTACTGTAATTGTTTTATATCATTAAGTCATTCGTATTCTTTTATAACTTCCAAATAAAAAAATGTCTTCAAGTAAAATAACTTTATCTGATACCCAAAAATATGAATTTTGCTTATTTGCTGCAAATAATAAATTGACCAGAAAAGAATATGTTGGATGGATTGAACAAAAATGGGGAGTTACAGTTCATGAATCAACAATAACCAGAATTATTCAAAAAAGTAAAGAAATACTTAGCACTGAAATTAGCAATCCAGAAGCAAAAAGACATAAATCTGTGATTGTCCCCGAACTTGAATTGGCTCTTAAGGAATTTGTCTTAGTTTATCAACACAAAGCAATCTTGAGTGATGCTATTTTAGTTGAAAAGGCTAAGCAAATAGCAACTGGGTTAGGAATTCCTGAAGGGACATTGAAATTTTCTACTGGATGGCTTGTAAAATTTAAAAATCGTAATGGAATTCATCAAATAAAACTTCATGGAGAGGCATCATCAGCTGATCTAGCTGCCATTAGTGATGCTTTACCATTATTGAGAGGTAAATGTGGAAATTATCCTGCTGAAAGAATATATAATATGGACGAAACAGGTCTTTTCTATAGGTAATTAATATTTTAATACCAATCTTTGATTATCTGTATTTAAATTGAATAGAATTTGATCTTATTTTTTATTCTTTACAGATTAGAACCAGATAGAACATTAGCTACAAATAGACTTTCTGGTCGTAAAAAGAATAAAGAAAGACTTTCAATTGCTTTGTGTACAAATGCTGATGGATCACACAAGTTGAATCCATTAATAATTGGAAAATTTGGAAAGCCAAGGTGTTTTAAAAATATTAACATAAACAACTTACCAATGACATATCGTTATAATACTAAGGCATGGATGCTGTCTACTGTTTTTCAAGACTGGCTTCAAGAGTTTAACAGGGAGGTTGCTCAAAAATATAATCAGCGGGTATTATTGCTCCTTGATAATTGTCCAAGCCATAAGATTGATGGTTTGGTTCTTTCTCATGTTGATGTTCATTTTCTTCCTCCAAACACCACATCAAAAATTCAGCCAATGGATGCAGGAATTATTATGTCTTTTAAAAAACATTATCGTCATTTACATATTAAATGGATTCTAAATCAAGTTGAAGATGGAAATGATATAAAAGATTTAAAAATGGATGTATTGCAGGCAATACAATACATTATTAAAAGTTGGGAAGAAATCACACCTGAAACCATTCGTAACTGCTGGCAACATACCAAAATCCTCCCAGCTGCCATTGATACTGCTAGCAATGTTGGAGAAACTAATATTCCTACATTAGAAGAACTTTCGGATTCAATTGGAGCACTTAACCTATCTAATGCTATGCAAATTGATGAATTTTTAAATAATCCAGAAGAAGGAATGGTTTATGAGGTTCCTGATAATGATGATAAAATTATTGAGGGTCTTGTAGAAATATTTAAAAAACAGCTAGAAGTGCCTATTGAGGATATTGAAGATGATAAAGATGATAGTATTGAACCAGTGGTAATAAGTGCCAGTGAAGCTTCAAAAAGTTTAAAAACTGTTTATGCATTTCTACTACAAGAAGAAAATTCTAGTGAACAATTAAAAATGGCTAATGCTCTTGATAAATTTATTAATCTAAAAAAAATAAATAGAATGAAACAAACTACAATGTATGATTTTATCAATCAATAAATAATTTTATAAATAAAAAATTTTTTTAATTTTTCATTAGTGTCACGTGCAACCAATAAAATACTTTTGTTCTATAAGTGCACTTCTCCATAAGTGCACAGTCTTGCCTGGTCCCAAGGGGGGTGCACTTATGGAGGGTTGACTGTATTTATATTTGTAATTAATAATTGAATTTTCAGTTTGTGTTGAAATACCATCAATTGTGTTTTGATAGAAAGATCTTTTTCTTTTTTATTTAGACTTTTAAATTCAAAATATCTTTCAAAAAAATTTTTAAAGCCTATTTTTTCAAAGCAATTTTGTAAATCTTCTGATGTTTTATGACAACTACATTTTGAGCTTTGGAAAAATAATTTTAAATCATCAATTACACTAATTACTAAATCATATTGTTCATAATCTTCTAATAAATTGTATTCTGGTGTTAAATCAATTAAAGACATGTTTTTAAATTGTATTTTGAGATATAATAATATTGATTTAATAAATATTTTATTTGATTTATGAAATTTATTCAGTTTAAAGCAAAAAGTTTTTATTTAAATGAATTTTTTCAGATAATTAATTTATTTCTAAATTTGGATAAATGAGTTTTTAAAATTAGATCAAATTTTCGGGGGTCAATTTTCCTTTTTCTGTGTAACAAATTTTGATTTTGTATTTACGTACACAAAATGAGTTATTTACCTCGGAGGTGGTTTTTGCTGTAGACAGTCACATATGTGAACTGAATTAAAAAATTCAATATTAATACAAGAGAAATATTATTATAATCCTCATGTGACTGGCTGTCTTTAATGTGCCAATTACGTTTGAGGCAATTATGTTTAGAATGAGAAAATCTCCATTAATGAATTGATTATACTTAGAAATCCACAGATTACATGTTATATAAATCATTAATTAATCAATTACATAAAATTATTTCTTAAATTTTTTATAAAGGCCAATAAACAAACAAAAGCAGCAATATAATAATAACATACAGTCAACCAAGTCAAATATGGTTGCTTTTAGCAATTCACAAAATCCTTTTATTAAACAGTGTAAAATTCACCAGAAAATAATTTACCATTTTACAAGGGGTTTTCATACAGAATTAATGAAAATTGCTAAAGATAATGAAATAAGTCAAGAAACAATTCCGAAAATGGATTGCTGCAGTCTGCAAATTGACCAGCTGCGAGTGAAAGGTTTGTTATACATGTACACAGTCAGCACTTGATATAGTGAACCTACCTACTATATAGTAAATTGTCCAATATAACGAAGTTGGGAAATTTCATTATAAACTTTGAAATTCACACGTGTGAATTTCAAATTAGCCAATCAGAAGCATTTAACGGTGGCTTAATTATCTAAACATAAATTTATCAAAGGGACGGAAGAGATATCAACTCATAGTCAGCTCAAGTTTTTTTGCTGGTCCAACATCTTTTCATTATTTATTATTATAAATAGAACTCCTGACGAACTGGCAGTACTCAACTTTAACTATTCTATATACAATGCAATCATTTTCGTAACACTTAAATTTTCCTTTTGTTTCGTTAAATAAAATAAAGAAACAAGCGTTTCCGTTTTAAGTAAAGATTTACCACGGTATCATATCATGTGGCTATTATTACTATTACCATATTACTATTATTCCATTATACAATAATAATAGAGTAAAATATAAAGATGAATTAAAAACAGCGAAAATAAAGTTGCTTCGATCGATAAATTGTCATGCTCGAGTTCAACTGTGCGGGTTGAAGCTGAGGGATCTGATGGTATATTGGTAGATATTCACCTTTCCAAATCAAAAAGGCAGGAGCTTATTATACATGAGTTTCCAAACACACCAACCCATAGTGTCGATTTATTGATCAGCAGAGTTAGCATAAACAAATGGAATGTTATTGCAATACCGGAGAAAACAAAATAAGCATGAATAACTTTATTGACGTTTACTTTTTTTTCTTTTAAAAAATCACGTCCAAAATTAATGTGACAAATGCATCCCACAAGACTGTTGAACGTCCATATAATGCACAATACCGCAAGAAATTTGGATCTACAAAAAAATCCGATTGGAGGAGTGTAATAGGCCATGCCTACTGATACCCAAGACAATGCCATTGAGGATAAAGCGGTAAATGTAAACATAAACTTTATATGTAAAGGGTTTTTGTCAAATCGTCTTATTGTGAACTCTTCACCCCGTTCAGTGAATTCGTTTTGTATAGCCTTTATGTCTTCATTCTCTTCTAACGCTCTTATTAAACGACCCTCTAACTCTATTTCAGGGTCCTTGACTACAACTATCCCTGTTCCAAATGTTCGCTTCATAATCACCCCAAAAGTCCAAAGAAATAACAGAGTTAAAAAGGGCCAATCTTCAAGAGTACATGGTCCTACCACCCCGGAAATTCCCGCAATAATTCCAACAGTTATATAATATGCTGATGCTAACGAGGACAATCGATCCAACACAGATGCTGTTGCTGTACAATTCTCAATAATCTTTTTTTGCGTTGAAGTAATTATCATATCTTTAACGTGAAGGCCGACTGGTCGAAAGTCAAGTATTTTTTTATCTGTTGTAATAAAAGATTTTGCCGGGAGCCAGTATATGCACATTTCCACTGGGTCATCTTTTATATTCAAGTAGTAAAACAGAGCTGTGAAAGGACAACCAAGACATCTAAAAATCCAAGACAGTTTATGTATCAAAGATCCAAATGGTGATGTCCCTAATGTTGTAACAACAGGGATGAGACCCAACACATATTGTGGTATGGGTTCTTGCAATTTACAAATTGTTTGAAAAATTTCCGCGCCTTCTTGTGACATTTTTGTCTTAAAATTATTAAGTCATGAATTTAACTTGATTTATATATATAAATCAATTTCATATTCCCAAATCAAAACATTCATTCATGATTTGTTTTGAATCGAAATTTGATTACAAATAATTTTTACTGGAGGTCTTAACTTGGGGCATTGAATAAAAATGACAGACTATTGTTGAACTCAGTGTGATTTTACATCCTTTATTCTACAATCGCATATTTTTACCAAATTTATTTATTATTGTCAACTGATTGTTGAACAAGTTATCATAAATAATATATATAGATTTATTTGATAATCATAAAAATCAAAATTGGTCAACTTATTAAAATTTTGTTAACATAATACAAATTTATCTTATCAAGAGTTTGATTCTGCTTCTCCTTTATCAGTAAAGTGTGATTGTTTTTCGCTATTTCACCCTAATTCTTTCAATAAAAATAATTGCATTGCATAATATTAGTTTATGTTACACATCAAAATCATGTGTTGATCATCTGATACAAATTTTGATCATTTCCAATTTGTTTAGAGACAGATTCCGCAATTTGAATATTGAATGTAAATTAATAGTTATTATTTGTTATTCCGTGCATGGTATTATAAATTTATCTTTACATTCACCAACTATCCAATCACCGAAAAATAAAATTCCTTTTGGTGGTAGCCTCAACATTCTAAAATTCTTGTATTTACAAATATCCTTGGCGCTGTTAGTATGACACCACCACTATATATATCTCTTTCTTTGTTAAGAACATACCATTTAAAGAAGAAATTATTTGGTTCGAGATGTCACATGACAGCACATCATTAATCTTTACGTGATCCCATTAATTTGATCTTATCTTTAATAATGGTACAACAAAATTGGATAAAATAAGTATTCACTCACTGCCAAACAATACTTGTAAAACCATGTGGATCGATATTTTGACAATATAAATTTATTTTTTAAGAATCATATATAATAATGGAATAATTATGCATTTTTTTTTAAAAATATAAAAAAAATTGTATTCAAATAAATATAATTTTTTATGAAATTTTAATATACATATCTACAAACAAAATCTCTTTCCAACTGCTCCTAGGATAAAAAAACCCATTTTTTAAAAAAATATCAAATTTAAATAATATTATATAAAAAATTATAAAAAGTACCGACCATCATAATTTAAACATCCAATAATAAACGTCGAGGATCTTCCACTTGTTCCTTAATTGTCTTCAAGAATGTAACAGCCTCACGTCCATCAATCAATCGATGATCATAAGTCAAGGCAACATACATCATAGGACGAATCTCAATCTATATCCATAAAATCATTATCTTTAACCATTATAACTTTTTACGTTTCTATTTAAGAAGGTTTATTAAACACCTACCTTTCCATTTATAGCAACAGGGCGTTCTTTTGTAACATGCATACCAAGAATTGCACTTTGTGGAAGATTGATGATTGGAGTGCCAAATAACGATCCATAAACACCGCCATTAGATATAGTAAATGTTCCACCTGTCATATCTTCGATAGTAATTTTTCCCTCTCTAGCCTATAATTTTTTATAAATACAAATAAAAATAATAATAAGCAAAATAATCGAGCAATATAATTCCATAATAAAAAACATAAAAATAATGACTCCAACTAACCTTTACACCCAATTCAGCAATCGCCTTTTCAATTTCAATAAAAGATAACAAATGTGCATTTCTAACAACTGGAGTTACAAGACCTTTTGGTGTAGCTACAGCAACGCTAACATCAACATAATCTCTATAGATAATGCTATCACCATCAATAGAAGCATTGACGGAAGGAATCTCTTGAAGTGCTACAACAGATGCCTTTACAAATGGAGGAAGGAATCCAAGTTTTATATTATGCTTTTTCATTACCGCATCTTTGTAAGTATTACGCATATCAATGATATTACTAATATTTATACAAAATGTTTATGTTGCTATTAGTAATTAATAGCAGTAGTCGTAATTATAATAAGTGAAAGAGAAACTAAATATATTATTATACGTATTAATATAAACAGATAAATATATGGCAAATCTCACCTCATATCAATTTCATTAAAAGTGGTTAAAGATGCTGCGGTATTTTGCGCCTCCTTCAACCGTTCAGCAATTCTCAAACGCATTCTATTCATCTTTACCTATTATTTATTAATTCACATATCATATGTCAAGATTCTTTATTATCAATTAACTAATAAATTTGTTTGTTTGTTTGTCTGTTTGTTTTTATACATACATGACTCTCCGTACGATCCTTATAGTGATCCTCTGGTTTGGTAACTTTCGAGGTAGAAATTGTAAGTGGGGTTGAAGGCGGTGGTTTTGCAGAAGAAGAAGATTTTGCAGAAGATGGTTTTTGTTCTGGATATAAATAAATCAAAAATCAATAAATTAATAAATTCTAGAATTACTCAATAACAATGCAATAAATAGGATACCAGTTTTTGGTTGTGGTGATGGCGGAGCAGTCTCTTTCTTTGATTCTTCTTTAGGGGATTCGACCTTTGATTCGGCCTTTGATTCCTGTTTTGGAGCTTCTTCCTTAGGAGATTCTTCTTTAGGAGCTTCATCTTTGCTGGCTAAAATAATATTTAATCAAAGTGAAATCACAAACCAATCAACAAACCAATCAACAAACCAACCAATCAATAAATCTATAAATTTTAATGATGATTACCTTCAGCAGGAGCATCACCCAACTCAATTTCAAAAAGATCTTGTTGAACTGTAACATTGTCTTGCTCATCCACAAACAACTTAGTTATCTTACCGGAATGTGGAGAATTAATAGGAGCATCGATCTTTTAAAACAAAACAAACAATGTTATTATTATTGTCATTATTACTGATTATTTTGAACTCTTAAAATTTAAAGTTTGGATGATTTGATTTACCTTGTCTGTTTCGATGGTGGCAACTTCTTCGTCTTGACGAACGTAGTCACCGACCTCTTTTTATTTATTAATTAATTAATTTTTTGGTAGGTGAAAAGTGAACGAGAGAAAGAGTGAAAAAAAAGATGGTGTTAAAGCTGATCTTACTTTTACTCCATTTTGCAAGTGTTCCCTCTGTAATGGACTCGGCCAAAGGAGGAACTTTAACCACCTTACTGGCTGAAAACAAATAAAATATCATTCAATTAATTTGTTCTTTAATAATAATAATGAAATGATTATATATTTTTACTTGCCATAGTCTCGAATTTGTATCTTTAGGGCATATGTTTGGGCATATAAGAAGGTTCTTGGTGTAAACTTGAAGCTATACAACAAAGAACGAGCAGTGTTTAATTTAAGAATGTTCTTTGATATAGCAGCCAGCTGCATCATTATACTTTTTTTTAAAATTAATTAAAAATTATTTACGTGAATTAAGTAAGAAATTTTTAAAGATTTTTCTTTTAAGAATAAAAAAAAATTATATTTTCCATGTAAGATCTGCTAAAAATCTTGTCATAAATAGAAATACCGCCAATAAGATTGTGTAAATTTCGACCGCTATATGAAAAATAATCGGATAGATTGCAAGTATGTACGTAATGCATGTCAATCAATCTTTATACGAGTTATTGATTCAAATAAAATTGGAATTATTCGTTTGATCATTTGATTCGAATCATTCGTATGGACCCGGACAGTAAAAATCGAGTTTTCCAGAAAGTTTTTTTTCTTTTTTAGTAAGATTTCCTGGTGATATATGGTGGATTATTCTCTACAAGAAAGCGAACATAGCATGACACAAATAATTACAGTCATTTCTTTTTATTTGGTATTAGTCTTTTTAATCTTATCCGATGGTTAGTAAATTTATTGCCAGCAAGCTAGTTAGTAAACTAATTATAATTAAACGGATCTTGCTGTAACGGATCGCTCTTTGGTTTAATGAGTTCAGAGAATACTTTGCTCGATTTAACTGATGATGAGCATTGATAGACAATTGACTCAATAGTAAAGGCTTGAGCGACCTTTTCTTTTAGATTAGTAAAGCACGGGAATAAATTTTCATTTCTTGGAGAAACTTCTGCTCGATTGCTTCAATAAAACCTTTCTTTTCTTTCTGGTGATTGTGCTTCATTTAAGGCATTTTGTAAATTATTTATCTTATGAACAGAATCGGAGGAATTTGGCTTTTGTGGTAACTGTTGGATAGTAACATGATTAATTCTACTTCTGCAATACCCTTTCTTTGTTCCGGCCTGGATTTATGATTATCTCTTTCTTAGCATCATTTATTTGTTGTTGTCAATCTTTGGAGCATGTAACATCAACAAAACCTGTATAACAAATAATTAATATTCCGAAATTCTATATTAATATTATTAATATACAAAAAAAAACAGGTTGGAAAAAATTTTCTTTCCATATTAATACTAATATTATTTATTTCAATAGTTTGGTTGCACAATTTTGAGTTTTTATGACGTTACACGCTCCAAAAGTTCCATCTATACACTGGTTATTGACAGTTAGGAGAAATAGCATCATCAAGTTTATTTTTGATTTGTTGATAGGCTTGTAATTGTTTTGTAAACTTTGATTGGTTACTTTGGGATTACTTGTTTGGGATCAATCATAATAGTTGACAATGTTTGTTTGCCCTTGGTCATAGTTGGTACAGTCAAAGCTCTCTATAACGAACCTTCAAAAACCGAACTGTTCTCTATAATGAATTAAGGTATTGGTTCCCGATTTTTTGTTAATTAATTTTGCTCTGTATAACGAACTTAATAATTAAAATTCTATATTCTGTATAACGAACTGCTTTTGAAAATCATATGACAAATTTACATATATAAAATGACGCTCACTTTAATGTAACACAAAAAATTCATCATTATTGACAAAAAAAATTTTTTTCGATAAAAAAAAAATTTATTCTTTAACTATAACGAAAACAACATTGATATTAACATTATACAAGCGACAAGAATACAATTGTTTATTAATTGATTGTTTACACACTACGTCTCTTTTGTTAAATCATTAATGGAAATAAAGAAAATAAATACCAATTTTTATTAAATATATAAAATATCCGTGTGCATTTTTTTTTTTAAAAAGATATTTTAAAATTCAACCAAATGTCAACTAAAAGAAGAACTACTTTGACAGCTTTACAAAAGAAAGAGGTATGTTTGTTGAAACAATGAGATCCGAATATTTCTAACGTTGAACTTGCAGATATATATAATGTCGGAAAATCTACAGTAATTGAGATTTTAAAAGAAAAAGATAAATGGATTACAAATTGCAATTTTCATAGTTATATTACGATCACATGACTATAAATGTGATGCTTGATCGACACCTTATAGTGAACGCTCTCTATAACGAACAAAAATTCTCGGGATAGGGGGTTCGTTATAGAGAACTTTGATTGTAGATTGCGAACAATTTTGGGAATTGATAATCATTTGACAAGTTAATTCAAAAGTATTCTTGGTAATATTGTTTGCTTGCAAAAAGAGATGAAGTTTTTGCTGCAGACTTCTGTTTTTACTTTAATTTACTGAAGAGAGCTAATTTTTGTTTTCCATTTTCGACGTGTTTTCTTGTCATGCATTCATTCTTTTCGTACAAATTCCTTGGATCCCAAGATGGTAATACATAGTGAGTGATGAACTTTTCAAATAATAATAAAATTCTACTGATGCACGTGTTCAATCAACGCTAAATAGTTATATCACGGACACTAGTACTTTGCATGGGTAATGGGTAATAATAATCTAACACATACCACATAATATCAGCTTGTTTAAAAAATACAATAATAAAATTTTTAATATTATTTGAGAGGACCATGTAAACAAGCGTACTTACTATTTCCAGTTTTATTTAAGAGATTTTTATTTTATGAGGAAAAAAAAAAATGGACGAGACAAATTGTGGCACTATTGTGGCGTTTAACAAATTTAACCAGGGCCAAGTGAATATCATGTCACATCTTTCATCTTTTATTTCTTGAGAAAAAAATGTCTCAAGCATCTTGTATAAAGTATAAAAATCCTGCACAAAATAATTATTACTCGGGTGGAGTTTTAACTTATGTTTATAGGTGGAAAATAACAAAATGGAGTGATGTTAGACCTTTTATGGAACATACTAGTCCTCCTTTTAATGCTGATAATTTACAATGGTTTGTAGCATTAGAAAAAAAATTTTTTTTTTTTGGCATGTTCTTGAAAAATCCCCACGTTTATA